GTAAGCATTCAGAGATCACTCTCTCTTTAATCTGCTGTTTCTGATGTTATTGCTTTCTGACCAGCATTCTTCTTCTTCTTCTGCCATTAATAAAGATTATTTTCAAATTACTTCTTTGATTCAATGCAGCCGAAGTTCTACTGGAGTTTCATGTCAAACTGGGAGTTGAAGTTTTCTGTCCTATTTATTTAAAAGTTTTAAAATTATTCCTTTATTCCCAAATGTTGATTGATATCATTTCTGTTTTTCAGTTTTATTCTATTTCCTCTCCCATTTCTTCTATTTTGTTACAGTGTGAAAAGGTAACCTATTTGAATTAAGAAAGAATTGGCAAAAATAACCACCTTCATTGAAAATGTTACATGCCATTTGAGTTTTAAAACAAAAAAGATCTTGATTCATTGTATTGTATTTTTTTTTATGTCAGCTATATTCCAAATAATTTGTTTTTTTTTATGGCTTAGCAACCCTTTATTTCAGATTAGGAGGTTGCTGACAGTATCCAGTATTTCCAAGCAGTCCTCCATCTAAGTACTGACTGTACTTGACAATCTTTAACATTGGTGATCAAACAAGAACCTTATGTCCCAGAGGATAAAACTAAAACACATGCATTATATTGCAATAGCTATCAATTCAGTTTACAGGCTTACTTTTTCTTTATATAGACAGAAAAATATTTTAATATTTAAAGAGAGATGGTCCTTATGAGTAGTTTGGAAATTTCAGATTAGCAATTTTCATTATTCCATATGGTTTTTAGAGTAGCATTTTCATTTTTTGTTCTTTTTAATCAAATGCTTCATCTCTAGATAGGTATGCAGCCTTTGGTAATCTGTTAAGTTGCTTAGTACTATTTTATGAAAAACCACTAAGTGCCTTCTAAAAACCATTAAAAGGAATTGGTATTGGTAAATAGCATTCAAACATTTCCTTCAAAGCAAACTGAAAGTCAGAAAAATGTGTGCTTCTTATGTGATTTAATAAAATCTTCAAGATTAAAGGAAAATGTGAAATTTTATTTCATTGACTTTAACTTTATATTCATTGAATCAGTGAAAAAATATCCAAATGTTTTTTGTTTTTGTTTTTTGGCAAGGTCATTCTCATGGCGGATTATCATTCAAAAAATTTAAAAAATTAAAATTTAATTTTATCTGCTTTTACAATATGCATTAAATATAATAATGGCTGATTGCTTGTTTTCAATTACACCTGTCTGTTAGGATAGCTAGCTAATCCCTGTTTTAGATATCTGCTCAGGCACATTTATGAAACACCAACCTGTGGTTTATATTGTAACTATGCTGAGCAGATCTTAGTTACAATCTCTGAGGGAGAGCACATAATCTGGCATGATCAGTAGATGAACAAAGCCAGTATGCTTAAACCCTCAGTCATGATGGCTTGTGACTTTGTTATTTATTAAATACCGCTTTTATATTTATATGCACTTATAAAACCACACTGTTTTGATGGTTGGAAATTTTGAAAATTCAATTCATCTATTCATGAAAGCATGAGTCTTAAATTGACTAATATTTCTGTCAAACATTCTCATGTTTAATTTGTTCTTACAGGAAAACTCACAGCATACATGTTTGAATTAGAAAGCACTTAGCGAACAAATGTCTCCATTAATGTTATTATCAATAACAACTGAACAGGCAGATTACAGAACCCAGGCTATGCCCTGACGTAAGTTTGTAATAATTATTGATAAGAAATATATCAGTAAAAACAGTCAGACATAACCTCTTTGATCTTCACCAGTGGTGGTAATAAGTTGATGATAAACACACAAAATATTTTAAAATCTTAAATATTATAATAATGTAAATTACTTCAAAGATAGTTATAATTCAGGGAAGATAACTAAATTTTGATTTTTTTTTTTTGGAAAAATCTGGTATAACTTCCAAAATATAATCAATTGTTCTTTGATCCATAATCCACCCTACTACTAAATGTTAGTGAAATTCATTGAGAAATTTTAATGATATAGTTTAAACATGGCTGAATATATAATCTCTGCTCAACTTTGTTGACAGAGGTAATCATGTGATGTAATGAAACCTCAATATTTTGATTACAAGGTTTACCTTTGAAGTAAATTATTCATGCTTTCTCTTACTTAACTTTTATTAAAACCCTTAAATAAGATCTTCAACCAGTTTATTACTAATTCCTCTATCAATGTCCTCACAATGTGCACTTCTTATTCCTTTTTCTCCCCCTTTCTTACAACAATCTTGCTCGGTAACCTTTTACTGTGAATTGGTCCTTGTATCGAGTGAACTAACAGTATTAAAAAAAATGCATGACCATAATTTTATATATTTAAATTTGCTTAAAAATGAACTCCAAATAATTTTGTTACTAAATCTTTGATCTAGTTTGAAATAAGTTTTCTTTTTTGTGAAGAATTAACCCCCGACCTGCTATATGGAATTGAGCCTCAGCAACAAATGCAAATGTTTTATTTATTTATTGAATTCAAATCCAGTCATTTTACAAGTTTAATCTAACAAACCTTGACCTTTTTATGCGTCTGGTCTGTTATTTTCATTTCAGTATTGGTTATTAACAAATGTAACATTCTTTGTAATGTTCCAAAGATCATTGCCAAACCTCTTATTTTCTGCTGAATAATTTGTCTATTTTGCTTGAAAGATTCTAATGCTTCCAAATAATTATTTTGAAACTTCTCTTCCTTGAGACATTGAATCATAAAAGGATTTTAAATTGCATGTACGTTAACAATAGTCAAGATACATTTGTACTCTCTGTTTAGAAATAAATAGATTAGCTGAGCCAACAATTTCATTGAAACCTGCCAGTAATTATTGTGCACTCCTCTTTAGAAAACAAATAAGCATTGTAAATATTTTAGAGCTTGTTTCTATTTCCATTTAGAACTTAATGTCAATAATGTGCATATATCATAGCACATGGAAATGGGGACATATCTGAGATCTTTATAAAATTTGACATGTTTCACTATTTATTTCACTTCATCAGAAAGTTTAGCAGTGGAATGATTTGGACTGATAGCTAAGTTTTTAAATTCTATATTGTTTTGTTTCTATTGATTTTAATGTGAATATTGATGTTAGTGCTATTTCTGTATCAATTTTTAAATTCTATTTGTTTTATTTCTATTTTGAAATTGATACAGACATAAACACTCACACCAGTATTCTTGTGATGTTTACACAACAAGTAAAAGCAAAACAGCACAGAATTTAAAAACTAAAATACAACTCTGAATCATTCCACTACCCAACTTTCTGATGAAGTTAAATAAGAAGTAAAACGTGTCAAATTTATACAGATTTCATACTTTCTCCTTATTCAATCATTCTGTTGGATTTAATCCATATTTTTAAATCATCATATTCTATATATATATATATATATATATACACACACACACATTTCACATCATAGTGCCACTAATTTGCAAGATGTTACTGGGAGTGAAAGAGAATAAGAAGACAAAGAAATGGAAACTCAATCCTAAATCATTCCCTTATATATATGTGTGTGTGTATATATATATATATATATATATATATATATATATATATATATATATATATGTATGAATGTATGTATGTATAGCTGGTCACTCGTATTTGAGTATACCCATCTAATGGGGCAGCTAGCCAGTCCCTATTGTAGATGCTGGCTCAGGCATATCTGTGTTTTTCAACACCCACAGAGCCCTTCTGTTGTTTATACTGCAATTATGCTGAGCAGACCTTAGTTACAATTTCTGGGAAAGAGTGCGTTATTTAAAGTGATCAACAATTTGAACAAGGCCAGTATGCTCAAACCCTCGGTCACGATGACTTGTGATTTCATGCTAGTACAACCACCAACAGCTCCCAAGGATTTTACCTACCCAATTTCACTCACAAGACTTGAGTACACCTGTGGTATGGTTTCCAGGCACTTTCCAAAGACAACGCATACTGAGATCACCTCCTGTAGACTGATAACATCAAAAAGGTCACCTTCCTGACAAATCAACCATGATAAGATTCAAATCCATGTCTCATGGTCAGAAAATGAATGTTCTAACCATTCACCAACATACCCATTTTTTTCTTCAATACAATAACCATTACAAACAAAACATTTAAGAATTTTTATGAATAAAATGATTTGTATACCATAAAATTATTTTAATTATTTATGAAATTCATCAAATATATAATATTTATATCCATGTTATGACAAGCTAGTTTATCAAGCTGTATCTGTGAGTTGTAAATTTTTTAAAAGAACTTCAGTTTACTGTAATGAACTTGCATATTGTTCACTTCAAGTCATGTATCAACAATGACATAGCAAAGATGTCTGTGTATTTAAAGCAAGGAATTATGAATAAATGCAATTCATGAATAGATTTTAAACCAACATTTAAGCAGTTTTTAGTATCCAAGTCGATTGTACAGTAAATCACCGAAAGATATCACAAGACAAAAATTATTGCAGCTCTTGTTGGAATGGGCCATAAGACTAAATTCTTTCTAAGATTGCAAAGATTGTCTGTGAATGAAAGAAGAACCCTAAAATTGTACTGAAAGATATTGGTTCTGATTTGTTAAACAATGGAGTAAATTTACCATGTCGTATGGTAAGCAGGGTGTTCAATAAAAATATTATCAGTAATTACTGTCTAAGAAAAACTCTTTTGCTCAAAAGTCATCATTGCAAGGCTCAATTTGAGTTTGCACGTGCCTACTTGACACAGTTTCATAGTGTGGTGAGATAAAAATTGAATGGTTTGCTTGGAATCAGATACAGTAAGTATGGAGGAAAAAAGAAGCCATGAACCCTAGGAACATCATCCCTGGTGTAAAACATGGTAGTTAGCAATCTTATTCTTTAAAGCAAAAAGAAAGATTCTGTCAAGTATCTTTTTGGAAGATGAAATTTCACTTTCTGACATAACAATGATTCTAAATACATAGATGAAAAATTATATCCAA